TGAGAAACAATGTACAAATGCGCTTTACACAATTGATGTGTGTATGGATTGGGATAACAGTTGTATGAGCCCCTAATAAAATGTTAAAAAAAAAAAAGATACCATTCCTGAAACAACAAGCCCAGATGGTATTACAGGTGAATTCTTTGAAAGTGTACAGGAAAATATCATTTTGATAGCACTTATATTGTCTCACAGCATTAAGGGAAAAACATAACCAAACATTCCTTTTACAAAACCAGCAGAACATGGACACGTGGTGGTCTTGACCAAAAAACCCCCAAAACAACCTAAAACAAAGCTTGAGCTGTCATGTAAACTGTAATGTCATAATAAATTTCATAATAAATAAATGGAAAAACATTCAGTACAACAGCAAGGTGTATGTACTATCACTATTTTATTTGGCAGTAACAGAAATACATCCATGTAAATTATAGTGCTTATTTGGGCTGAAGAGCCAGTGCTATTTTTTTATTACATAAATTAACAAGTACAGTCCTTACATTTAGGATATAAAAATATTTAATTATATGACCCAAGTAAAGTTAATACGTGGCTATTTTTCCTTCAAATGAAACAAAACACGAATTTAGCATAATCATTGGGGGTAAAATAAGGGTATCCTTATTTCCATTAACCACAGATAAAAAATTCTTAAGTCTCACATACAGAGATGTTTCTAAATTTGATCAATCCAAGCAAAAACCAAAATGTCAGAATTCAGCCTAATTCATATTATTTTGAAATATATCTTGAAAACAACCCTCAATACATATTCACATTAAAATTTTTATAGCAAATGGACTACAAACATAATCTAAGATCCTTTATAATGAAAAGTCACAGAGAAGTACAGTAAATGCTATTTTGACATTCCTACTTTCTAAGCTTCAAGAAAAGTTAATCTAAATAGTGCTTTTGTAATGCAAATAATAACTCCTTAGGCAATTACTTAAGTAGAAAATATGACAACTTAAAGCAAGAGAAAGTTTATAAAAATGTTTTTAGTCAGGTAATTCAACAACAAATTAATAGGAGCACAGTAAATGGATGCAAATAATAAATACAACTTTATGAATGAAAAAGAGATTAAGTTGTCATTAAGTCTAATATTAGGGAAAATCTGACTTCTTTCAACATGATAAAACAAAATTTATTAATGAAACCTCCTTGAATATTGCCATTCATTTGCATGTTAAGGCCTGGTGGAAACCTGCCTTATTTTTAAAAAGATAATCCAATCTTGACAAACAATAAGTATACTGTTAATCTTCAAGGAAAAATAGCTAACCTTTAAACAAAAATACAGTGAAAACATAGGGGAAGAAACATAAATACTAAGAACAAATCACCTGAACATATACCACCATCACCCCACCCCACAGAAAGCAGAAGAAAAGCAGTCATTTTTGTAGAACTTACTCAAGACCGGCTTAGAAGGTAAACAGGGAAGCGGATGCTAGGACCCAAGGCGGCAGTGACATCCCACTGATCACGTAGCATGATGAGAAGCCCCCCAAATAACAACTGTCACCAGCCCTGGAGTTAATTCCAACGCAGAGTGACCCTGTCATATGGACCCTACATGAAAACTCCAGACTAGCCTAATCATTTGTTATTTTTATGCACTGCTTTTGCTGTTTTAACCCAATTTTAAGGCAAATGGAAATTGGTATCTGTGTATTAATTACTCTCTGCTATCAAAAAGTTCTTTTCAGGAACTTGTCCAGAAAACCCTATTTGGTCCTTCTCATCCCTATTGTCAAAGGCCACAAAGGAGGCATCTTACTAAAGTAATAGATACAGAATGACCAGAAATAATCAAACTTCTAGCACTGAATTTAGCCAACCAACTTCATAAATATAGATAGGTTTTCCCCCAAAGGTGAAATATAAAAGGGAGAAAATAACAACTCTGGAAAGTAATTTATTTTATCTAATAAAATCAATTCTGTTTTTGTAGCAGCATCATTAAATCATGCAATAGTTCAAAATGATTTCAAATTTTAAAAATGTTTATGAAATTAAGTTTACTTATAGCTTTGCCTGTAAACCAAATGAGTGCAATATCACAAGCACAGCTGTCTTGCCTAGGTAGTGATGGGAATGTGTAATGGAATGTGTGTTTGTACACCTGTGTGTGTATGAATGTGGTTCATGAAGGTCAACAACCTCAACAAGGTAAAAACACAAAGTACAAAATTAAAAGGAAAACATTACATAATGGAATTTTAGTCTTGGTATTAATGAGAGTTGTTATTGTTATATTAGGTGCCATCGAGTCGGCTCCGACCCACAGAGACCCGATGCACAACCGAATGAAGCAGTGCCCGGTCCTGTGCCAGCCTCACAATTGTTCCTGGACTCCACTGATGCAGCCACTGTGTCCATCAAAAAGGTATCACTACGAAAATGATACTTTTTATCATGTACTAAGTAAAACACAAAAAATAAATCAATAATGAGAATTATGAATAGTCAACTGTTAAGCTAAGAAAATATGTAAGGAAAGCCATAGAGCTATATATTCAAAACATTCAGCGCAATATTTCACATTAGTTAGTTTAAAGCTGTAACTTACATAACATGGAGCAAATGCAAGCAAGATAAACATTCTGAAGTTCATATTTTAAAAGAAATGTTACAGAATGTGGCACACACGGCAATTTAAAATTATGCTTTTTTTCACTCTTAATTTTCCATTCATTAATCAGGAACTAGGCACTTTAATCTAAATGCATCTTTAAGATCTTTAAGATGCATTTTAATATCTTTAAGATGCATTTTCAATCTTTCTGGGTAATCAACTCCTAAAATGAATAAAGACCACTTCAGGAATAAAATGAGCAAATCCAATCCATCAATATCCTGAACCAACTACTCCAAGTATACTTGGCAGCAGACCCTTACACAGAAACAACCCTGTGTATACATATTCATCATAAATGACAGGAAATATACTTCCACACCACTAAAACTTGTTCCATATTTACCGGTGAAAGTCACCTACTTTAAAGCCATACAAAGTAAGAATATGTGGTCATAATGGGACAAATTCCAGCAAGCTAACTTTTCTGTGGGAATAAACTAAAAGTCCATTTTGTAGAAGAAGAAATGAGAAATCATTTTACTGTACTAGGTTTAATAGATCACATTCTGGGAGACAGTTTCTAAACTATACAGAAAAAAATTTAATAACCTGTCTTGTTAATAAATATTATCGTTTCAATCACTATTCAAAGAGGAAATGCACTATACAAAATAAAAATAAAGTTCTTCAGTTTCTCTGTTGCTGCAATTTATATGACCATCAAGTAACATATTTTAGAATCTGCACTGAACCCAATTAAAAGCTGTAAACTGTAAACTTCTCAGTGTTCGATTCATTAAATGTTTCATATTGACACTCACCATTACAATTTCTTTGATTGAATTACATAAGCAAATGCACAGGCAATATTGTAAGCAGCATATAGTAATCATCACTACTGCCTAGGGTTAGTTATACAAATGAATAATTTTACAATCTAAATATGTTGCACTAGGAATATTTTTTACATGTGTGAACCACAAAGGTCTTAGCTAAAGTGTATATCTTCTAGGCACAAAGCATGAACACAAAGCTTTTCAGTCCGCTTCAAGGAGACAGATCAACTGACTCACGAGTACTGGCTTCAATTCAAGCAGTATTTCCTGACTTGAGTTCTTACCTACAGATTGTATATACTTCTCCGTAAGTATAGTGCAGTCGGTCATTCTTCACTAGCTTGCCCTCCTCCCTGAGTCCACTTTCACCCATTTGGTTGATTTTATAATGCGTTACAAAATCAACAAGTTACCTTAAAGTATTCTATTTATAACATACTCAAGTTATATGATTCTTAAGGTACTTATTGTACTTTGCCTTCCAGGAGCCCACTGGCCATAACCTGACCATGACCACTTATACAGCTACTCGTATGTTTCAGTGCGTCTGCTCCAAGATAGGCCATTAAAAGTTCCATGCGGCGAAAGAGTAACTGCATGAGATCTTCAGCTAAAGTCTCCATGTTTGAGTATCGTACTTTCTCGAAATCAAAAATGTCTTTGAGAAAGAAAACAACTTGATTCTAGAAAATGAACACAAAACACATGTGAATTTATTAGAACAAAAGTACCATTCAATCTAGAGTTACTAATATTGTAACAGGTACTGAATTAGAAGTTAGCTGGTCAGAATTTCAGCTCTAGTTCCATTTCTCACTAGGAAAATGACCTTAAGAATGTGATTTAACCTTTCTTGGGTCTAATTTTCTTTTTCTGCAAAATAAGAGAGAATACTTTCCCCATTTATTATTCAGAACTCAAAATCCCCAAAAAGACAATCTATAAGAAATGACTATAGATATTTACCTCACTCAGCTCACTGCCATCAAGTTGACTGGATTCTTATCAACCCTCAGCAACAGGCTAGAACTGTCCCTGTGGGATTCTGAGACTGCAACCCTTTTCTATGGGAGTAGAAAGCCGCATCTTCTCCCTGATTCATACTTAAAGCACTGTATAAATGTAAACAACCAAACCGAATTCATTGCCACTGAATCAATTCTAACTCATAGCAACCTTGTAGTACAGAGGAAAAAGGGTCTTCACAAGTTTATGGCAAAACGGAATTAAAAGAGGATGGAATTTTTCCCATGAACTTCCTGAAGCCCTCATATAGAACAGGACCCTAGAGTTTCCCAGGCCATAAATCTTTAGGAATGCAGACTGCCTCACCTTCTCATGTGGAGGGCTACTAAGTTTGAACTACCAACCTCTCAGCAGTCCAGCACCTAACCCATGGCACTATACCAGGACTCCGTAGTAACTGCCCCATTGGGTTTAGGAGGCCGTAGTTTTCACCCTCCCAATTTTGCCCCCAGGCTGTCATCTTTCCTGAAGAGCCCTGGCAGTACAGTGGGCTAGGAGCTGGGCTGTAACCACAAGGCTTCTAGTATTCAGTGGGCTAGGAGCTGGGCTGTAACCACAAGGTACTCTAGTATTCAGCTCTTCTGCAGAATAAAGCTGGGGTTTTCTAATCCCTTAAGAGTATAGCCTGGGAAACCCACAGGGCAGTTCTACTCTGTCTGTAGGGTCAATATGTGTCAGAAGCCATAGCAGTAAATCTGGACTTTTAGTTTGGAATTTTTATGGAAGCTGACTGCCACATCTTTCTCCTATGGAGCAGCTGGTGAGTTTGAACTACTGACTTTTCAGTTAGCAGCTGAGCACTTAACCACTGCATTACTGAGGCTTCTTATTTAAATAAATAAAATATATACATGATTATTCCTTTCATAATAATTGAGTTTGAAGTTACCTCTGAGAACTGATATGACTTTAAAATAGTTAGCAAACTATTTCCAGTGATCATAAATTAATTTTTAATGTATGTTGTTCTATATATTTTTAAAATTAAGGCAAAAAAAATCAGTTTTCAAATCTTAAATCAGTAGAAGAATTTGAAGGGTATTTCAGTAAGCTAACATTTTTATTAAAACTCATATGAAGCAAGTGGTATACTAAACCAAAAACCAAACATACAATAATGAATAAATTCCAACTCGTAGTGAGTTTCCAAGACTGTAAATTTTTACTAAAACAGACAGCCTCATCTTTGTCCTGTGGGTTGGCTGGTGGGTTTGAACCATCCACCTTGTGGTTAGCAGCTCAATACCTAACCCACAGTGCCAGCACGGTTCCTGACGCTGTACTCTAGTAACTAAGGATTAATTATCAGGCTGCTATGTCATCATGGAGGGGAAAAAAACTTCAAAGGGAAAACAAACAAGCCAGGCAAAGGTGCCATGAAGACATACTGCAGCGATTCCCTGGACTGGAGATCAGAAGTGTCCTTACCAATCAACCTGCAGTCTCCTCACTTTACAGATGAAGAAAAGAAGGACCAACAGAATGGCATGCCCACAATTCCGAGCACGCATCAGTGACAAACGGTTTTTCAGTCCAAACTTTTCCCACTAAAAGATCTTCCATTTAGGAGATAAAGCCAATTTGTCAAAAATTAATGTAATTTGAATAACAGCAAATAAATACTTTCTCTACTATTTACTCAATGCTACATGAACAGCACATAAACATGATAGTTGTTTTTTTTAATGAGCGGTTTGAAATATTCAGACTTTCAAGGTCATATTCAATTATGTTAACTTTTATTGTTTGTTCCTTGAACCTTACAAGAGGATTAAAGAGCAAGACTTTTTTTTGGCATTTTGTCAGGCAAAAAATTCTGCAGTGAACTAACTTGTGTTCTGGGCAAATTGAAACTGTTGACATGGGGCTACAACTGGAAACTCCAAGATTTCTTTTCAGAATTTGGATTTTATCCAGCCATCATTTATCTTTAATTACCACATTTGTTTTAGAACCCTCAAAAGCAGGAAGGCACGAAGTATTGAGAAGTAGCAAATTCAGGGCGGCATGGCACCATGACAGAAGAAATGGAAAAGGTGAATGGACAAGTTGAGTCTATGCCACGGAAAGTTTCAAGCCGCTAAAGCACCAGTCCTGGTACAGATATTTAAAAATTCTATCGATGTGACCTTCTTACGTTTACTTTGAAAGAGCATTCTTTCTTCTGCAAAAAGAGACAATACAACCTACTGCTTCTTAGTTTAGGGGGGGAAATGAATCATTCAATAATTGAGCATACCTTAAAGCAGCAACATAAATCATAAAGAGAATTTCTAGGACCCAAAAAGCCCCAGGCTAGGACAGGACTGATGTGTTCACAAATGGCATAAAAATGGGCAAAAAATCCATCAGGGATCTGTTGGGAAAGAAAAAGAATCGGGTTATTTTGACTTTCTTGCATTTGCTTTCTCCATAAACTTTTTAAGCTGCTATCTGTCCCAGGGCCAGCTCGTCTTTGAGAATAGCCCACCCAGTCAGTGCTGAGCCAGTATGTTGAGAAAGTTAATAAACGTAATGGCTCTCAGAGTTAGTTCATATAGCTTTTCCTATCCTAACCAATTTTTCAAATACACCAAGATGCATTATTCCTTAAGAAGTATTTCTCACATCGTAAAAATACTTCACAAAAAAGGAATCATAACAGTGATGTAATCAAGCAAAAACATGGATATGAAGTGTTCCTTATGTAATTTTTAAGATTAATAAAATACCATAGCTTCAGTTATTAAAAAGCCCTGGCTCAATCCTTTAACTGAAAAAAACTAAAATGATTTTTTTTAATGATTAAGTAGAAAATTATTCTTACTAGTATGCTAAATCTTTAGTTAAGAAATGGAACATTATTTAAGAATTGAATTATGTAATTCCCTCTTCTTGTAAAATAGTGTTGCATGCAATGATGTCTCATGGAATTCTCCAAGCTTATCAATAACTCTCTGAATTTCCTGTTAAGTAACTTATCCTGCAGGACATGTCATGCAGCATTAACTAAGGACAACTATCCCATTAGTTTCCATTTTTTGGATGGATTATTTTCTATTTTACAGTCTCCAAGAAAATCTTCTAAGCCATAATGTAACAAATATTATTATAGCAGCAGTTACCATTTAATGAGTATCCATTATATTCCAGACAATATGCTAGGTCTTCACTTAATTAAATCTTCCTGCAAAAGGAGGTCATTAATATCGCTGTCTACAAGGGAACAGGAGTACTTCAAAAGGGTTCAGCAGCTGACCCTAAGTCACGTATAGCCAGTTACATAAGGCCACAGGTTTCCACGGGTGCACTGAGGTTATGCTGCTGGAAGAGATGTTTTGCATATTGACACTCTAAATTCCTATAGACTAAGTAAATTAAAAACTCAGAGAAATTAATGTGGGCTGAAGTAGAAGAGACAAGCTTCTCCATGGAATAATTTGAGCTAAACTAAATGTTGAATATGATTTATTTCCAAGCATAGAAAAATGCTCCCCAAGATCGGAGGCATATATGCTATCTGTGGCTATAGAACAACACCCAGGCACAAAATTTATGTTGAGAAGTAGGAAAGAAATTGAGATGCAATAACAATGTTTGCATTGTTAACATTATAGTACTACCACTTATTATACTTGATTTTGATATTATCTCATTTTATCCTTACAACACACCTAAAAGGTAGGAATGAACTCATGCTAGTAAATGGGAAAGTTCAGCTGATGTTCATAACTTGCCTGCAATCATGCTACTTAGGGTGAGAATCAAACCGAAGACAGTAAGTCCCCAAAGTCTGTTCCAATAAGCATATAATACTGGTTCTCAAACAGAAGCGTGTACAGTACCATTTAGAAAACTGGTTTAAAATGCTCGGCCTCTGGGATGACTTTTAACAAGCATCTGCTAAAGATACTGTGAGGATCATGCTTTGGAAAACACTGTACTTGGTAATACTGTCTCAAAATTATGTTTCATGAGAAACATATGAAAAAATAAATACTAAGAAGTTATTATAGGGCCTTGAGAAAATAATAATTTCAATAATAGCCAATACTTGCATAGTGTATATGTCAAGTAATTTTCTAAAACTTTACATGTATTGAATGAGAGCACTTCCAATGTATTCTCTTTGTATAGATGAGGAAACTTGTAATGGAAGGTTATATATCTTCCCATGGTGACATGTCTAGTAGTGGCACAGAAGGCATCTGAACCCCAGCAGTCTCATTCCAGCATCCATGAAGTGGTACACTGTGAGCAGTGCTGGTGGGTAACAGGGAAACGAGGTACAGAGCATGGAGACAGGGGTAAACTTTGAAGGGTTTTGGTTTTGGTCTGAGCTCTAAGTTGAATAATGCTGCTACTACAATCAGATAATCATTTCTCGGTTGGATTCCATGCTACTAAAAGGTGCTTTACACAATTGATGTATGTATGGATTATGATAAGAGTTCTATGAGTCCCCAAGAAAATGATTTAAAAAAATCTTAACATTAATAAGTTAAAATTAAAAAAAATTATTAGAGGTCTTTCCAACCCTAAACCTTCTCCCCCTGAGTGGAAATTTCGTACATACTTCAATTCTTGGCTTACTGAACTTTATGGAGGGAGAGGGCAGTCAATAAGGAGAAACCAACTCAGTACCAACAAGTCATTCAGCTAGTCTTTGATATCAGTTGCTATCCCCAAATGTGAGCTGATTCCGACTTCGTTTGACAAGATTTAAAATTACTTAACAACACTGCCCAGGGAATAATGGATTTCACCTTCATCTGTTGCTTTTTCTGTCTCAGGACTGACCGACAGCTGGAAGCCACAGCCTAGACACACAGATGAGAAAAACAGACTCAAAATTTCAATCACATGCACGTTACTTCTAGAAAAAAAAGGTGACTTTTAAATTAGAAATGTTAAGTTTACAGATCTAAAAGTTAAAAACATTCACTACTTATAAGATCTAGTTCAGATTCCTTATACTTTATAAATATTAATGAAAATGAGTTTCACTTCAGAAATGTAAAAATTAAACACACAATCACTAAAGATAAGTTAAAATCCGATACCAAGAAGTTTGGTAATTACATCATTACTCAGGAAAACAATGGGTATGTATATATGTTGATGTACATACAAAAATTAATATTTTATGTGTAATGATGAAGATAAAGTAATTTTTTTTAAAAAAATAGTAGTTCTGTAAACAGTTTTGGGAAGAACAGTTTTATTCAAATATAAAACGAAAAATTACAATCATCATGATGGACACACAGGATGCCTTTAAGAATTTTACCATGCTCCAGCATGACCCACTTTGATCAAGTTCACGGGAATGGAGAATATATACCTTTACTGAAACATTAAAAAAAAAATTTTTTTTTAATGAGGAACTGATATCAAGGGCTCAAGTAGAAAGAAAATGCTTTGAAAATGATGATGGCAGCATATGTGCAAATGTGCTTGACACAATGGATGAATGTATGGATTGTGATAAGAGATGAAAAAGCCCCAATAAAAGTATTTAATAAAAAAAAAATTCTAACTTGAAATATGATATTTATTCCACATACTTCCAGGTAGATGCTTAATGCTCAATGGGGGAAAAAAGGCAATGTCAACAGATATTTGACTAAGAAAAAAAATTCTATACTTTGAATACTCAAAACATAGGATATAGTTTAAACCTCTTTTATTCTTGCATGTATCTATTTTTTCTCTTCTAGTTTTTAATAGTATTTAGGAATATGAGTCTCAAATTTTTCTTAAAATATATATAATCACACATTTTACTCTCAATTTTATATTTCCATTTACTCATTCAGCATTATCCACAATTTTTTTGTTAGGCCTGAGCTAATGTGAAGCCTGAGCTTCATTTGAGACTGGAAAGAATACTGAGTCAAGTTAAGTCTGGGACTCGTGAAACAGCAAAAGGGCAAAAGGAGAATTAAGTATGACACGGTTGTACCACACACATCTAATTCCATTATCAAAGGGTGAGCTGAATTTCCTTATTAGTCATTCTACAGACAGATGTATATGTAAACGTATTAATCTCCCAGTTCTGACCACTTTCATCAAACTTAAATGACTGAGAACAGAAAACTACCACTTACGGTTTCTTTGAAGGAAGAATTTAGCCAGTGATTATTCACTACATTCTGTATGGATGTGGGTGGGTTTTCTAAATCTTCAAAGGAATCCATTAATATAAAATCCAGAACAACATCATAAAAATTTATATTTTTTACCTGCAATAAAAGATAAGTTTAAGCAGAAATTATTATTAGAGAAAGCCAAAATACAATGGATCATGACCTATAATGTCATAACATCAGAGTTTTTGAATTCTGTTTTAAAAAACTTTTTTAGCGGAATTAAGTGATTATATCACTGACAAATACAAAAATAATCATCACCAGACACTACAATTCACATGGTACCTAAAGAAAAAGAAAAACGCATATGCTACCTCTTGAATGGTTGAATGTGCACCCATTCTTTCTGTTACAAGGACTCTATAACCCTTCCATCTTCTTTAATGCGTCCTGCATCATTCAGTATTTGCCCATAGAAGCTTTCAGTACTTCAACTCAAGACTTGACTTTTTCTTCAGTTCTTCCATATACTGAGAATGTTCTTCCCTTTGGGTTTTATAACTCCAGATCAGCGATTCTCAACCTGTGGGTTGTGACCCCTTTCTGGGTTGAACAACCCTTTCACAGGGGTCACCTGATTGATAACAGTAGCAAAATTACAGTTCTGAAGTAGCAACGAAAACAATGTTATGGTTGGGGGGGGGGGGTCACAACATGAGGAACTGTATTTATTAAAGGGTTTCGGCATTAGGAAGGTTGAGAACCACTGCTCTAGATCTTTGCACATTTCATTATAACGCTTTCATTTGTCCTCTTGAGCTGCTCTTTTAAGTGTTTCTGTCCAGCTCTTCAACTGTATAATTTCCCCTTATGCTTTAGCTGCTCTACATTCTAGAGCGTTTCAGAGTCTCTTCTGGCATCCACTTTGGTCTTTTCTTTCTTTTCTGTATTTTTCATGCTTTCTTCATGTAGGACGTTCTAACTCTGAATGGATGTTTGCAGCTGTTTTGTCTCATTTTGAGTTGAGCCTCCCAAGCCAGTGCAGGCTTTCAGTTTGGCTCCCTCGACATCACTAAATCGCCTTCACTCTGAGGATGCTGCTCGGCTCATGCTACTTGGAAGCTTTCCGCCCCGAGGGGCTCGTCTTCTGGCTCTCTAGCTGACTATGTTCAGCTGCTGTTCCTAAAGCTTTCAGTGGCTCATCCCTCAGAAGAAGACCGCTGATTTCTTCTTCCTCCTCTCAAACTCTGATGAAATCTCGTTGCCCTGCTGATATTCAGAATACTGATGGTATATGTTCCACTATCACTGCAAAACACAAGTCACCACAGATAAGAGGTGCCTTTGTCATGCAGTTACCAGTTAATCAATCCACTAGATATGAAGCTCTTATTCTTTCATTCACTTATACATAATGTACTAAATAGGTACTCCATTTTCTCCAATAAGCAAAGTAGAGGTAGAGACCACAGTATAGTGAGGAAAATAATAACAAAATAATCCCATAAATGTGAAATCATATACATTTATAAATGCAATTAAGGAATTATGTGAACTTATAAATATCCCGACTGGATTCCTCAAGATATTGCAGCATCTCAGGTAGAGGAAACACCTAAAGACTCTGAAGTAAAAAAGAACTAGATGTTGAAGTGGAAAGTGTGTTGTGGGTCTCTGGGACTAGAAAGATGAAGGAAGGGCAGATCCTACAGGGCTCTGTGGCCATGGTTAAGGATTTTAGCTTTGATGTTCACAGTATTTCAGGGTTAGGGGTAGGGTAGAAAGAGGGAGATAATCAGATTTGTATCCTTTAAAAGATAATTCTGGTAGTAATGTGGAGCATGGAATACAGAGGAGAAAGAGTAAATCTGGGGAACAGGAGAGTAGGCAGGAAATA